AAAAAAAAAAAAATGAGGGGCGCCTGGGTGGCTCAGTTCGTTAAGCCTCGACTTCGGCTCAGGTCACAATCTCATGGTTTATGAGTTTGAGCCCCACGTCAGGCTCTGCTCTGATAGCTCAGAGCCTGGAGCCTGCTTCGAATTCTGGGTCTCCCTCTCTCTCTCCCCATCCCCTGCTCACACTGTGTCTCTCTCTCTCTCTCTCTCTCTCAAAAATAAATAAACATTAAAAAATTTTTTTAAAAAATGAAATAAATGATAAAGAAGGGAAGCAGATGGGAATCTGCAGGAACTAGAGCTGTAGCATAAAGTCATGAGACTTCTATGAAATCCTCAAGGGACAACCAAGAATCACCAAATAACTGAGAGGAAAAAGTAAGAGAACAATTAAAAAAATATATTTAATGTCCTCAGAACAATACAGAAAGAAATGGTAAACCAGAATCAAGAACAGATGGTTATGAGAGGAACCAGTAACAGATTCTGGAAACAAAATATAAAACCCCCAACTGGGAGTCTCTCTAAAAACAGAATGGACACAGCTGAAGAATACATCTTTAAGCTGGGAGACAGACCTGAGGAATTACCTCAATGCAGTACAAATAACAAAGAAATGGCAAGTATGAAAGAAAAAGTGAAGAGACATGGAGGACAGATTCAGATGTTCCTTCCAACTGTCTAATATGAGTTCTAGAAGGAAGTAAAAGCAAGGCAGTATTTGGAAGAAAACAATAATTGAGAATTTCTCCAAACTGAGAAAAACATGAATTCTGAGACTGAAAGAGCCAATTAAGATAAAGAAATAAAAAAAAAAAAAACAACCCATCCCTGATTACATGCCAGCGGAATTATGGATCATTAAAGATAAAGAGAAAATTCAGAGTAGATGATCTGCACAGACACGAGAGTGAGATAGACATCAGCAATAGCAGATACAAGACGATAATGAAGCCACTATCTCAAAGGCTAAAGCACCAGTGTGGTGCTTTCAGGGCAATTCCCTGAACTAGAAAACGTAGCTGAGTCACTAGAAGAACATTACAAGAAAAAAAAAAATCACTTCTTTGTACTTCATTCCTGACTAATACTAATTCAGGACAGGGCCCAGTTCTGTGCGTTAAAGAAACAAGATTTCCCAGGTGATTCCTATGTGACTTCCAGTTAAGAACTTTTGTGCAACAGGCACAGAGTAAGGGAATAATCAATTCTGGAGGTACACGGTGTTAGAAAAGCTACAGAGAGGAGGAGACATTTGAAGGATTGTGAAGAGCTTCTTAGGCAGACAAGGTGGAGAAGGACAAGCTAACCTGAAAGAGGGAAGAGAATGAACAGGAGAACATGAGGAATGCAGGTAAGGAACTTCCTTTGGGAAAGTCTGGTAAAGCTTAGGAGGGGATGACTAGGCTGGACAGAATGTGACGAGGCTCATTCCACCAGCAAAGAATTCATGGCTAAAATGTTAACTTCACATTTTCTTTTTCTTTTTTTTTTTT